TGTCTCTTCACAGGACTTGGTATACCTGTCCCGTTTACAGTTTTCACATTCTCCAGACAGTGGGTGGCATGTACCACCCGAACACCATTTGTTGCACTGATGTTTACACTTTGATCCCCATCTGCCTGGTATGATACATGGACAACTTCCCTTGTTTTCAGCAGGCAGCCCGTCCAAGCATTGTGCACAAGTGGTGCCATTCCAGTACATACCAGGTCGACAGTCTGCAAAATAGAAGAACGTTATTTTCGTGGCATTAAGCCAATGAATTCTAAAGTTCATTGATCATATTGTTGGAGTTTATACACGATGTTATTGTATTTGAGTAAGAGTTTGTCAAGTGCAGTTGTGTTAACCCCCGTCCGAACGTTTATAAACGATTTGGGCTGCAAAAACCAGCCTCCGAACTAGTTCATACTTACAGAATATTTCATCTGGGATTGTTAGCATATAAATTATATCAATCGGAATGAAGTATAGTTGGTGATTAAAAAAGTAAACAGTAAACAGTGATGAAATAAATTTGATAAAAGCTTTAGAGTTTTGCAATTTCATGGTTGTCAATCTAGTTTAAAGAAAACTCGAACGCTGAATTAACTGTTGTTTTCACTTTACGTAAACAAAGTATCAAGCAAGGTTTTCATCCCACACATTTAATGGTATTGATAGCTGATCATGTGAGCATATTATGAAATGGTATGTCGGGGTCACACAAGTGAATGAGTGAGTATGGTTTTACGCCGCTTTTAGCAATAATCCAGCAATATCATGGCGGGAGACACCAGAAATGGGCTTCACACATTGTACCCGTGTCGGGAATCGAACACAGGACTTCAAAGCACTTAGTTACTTTTGAAAAAGGTAGGTGTGAATTGAAACGAAATGTGATGTAATGAGAATAGGTGCTCCTTTAACACTGTGTTGTCATAATTTACTGTTTTGAAACTCAACAAACAAAAATATCCAATCTAACAGTGTGATGCAAAGGATTCTACGGAATTTTACGAGCTAAATTTAAGTTCCAGCAAAATCCACTGACACATAAAATACGTTAATCATTAGGAGTAAAACAGATGTTTTATTAATCGTGGGAAAAGAGTCAATTGTGAATGAACGACGTTACGTTAAGCTTTATGACGTCATCATGTCTGTCGAAGAGATCCAAATCGAACCCAAGTCGTAGAAGTATACCACTTCGGAGAAACCTATAAGTTCTTGTCTGTGGCCAACAGACCCACGATCATAATCGTGAAGAATACCGGAATGGAACCCAGTGAGACACTAATGAACTCGACAGATATTTACATGAAATGTGGACACTGTCGCAAGTACAAAGAAGTACAGCAATGTTACCTTCCTCATTCTTATACTTATACTGACTTGCTAAATGTCAGTTATCATAATCGAAATCAAACAGTAATTGCATGTAACATCAACCACGTATCAGTGCACTCAAAAATAGAATCAGCCGGCCAAATATATGCATACGTAAATGAATTAAAAATAATCCGTAGTTTTCCGTAATACTCCATCAAAATGCATATTAAGACTTAATGACTTAAAATGAAAATAAACTGATGAGCAAAAGATTACATACCTCAGTTGATTTTATTATATTTTGATTTTCAAGTAAACTTATCTTAAGCTACCAATATTATATTATTCTGGCGATTAGTCTGCACTCACAAAATATTACATGTTTATATTTTGTAAAATATGATTTGATTTAACACTTCTAAATATTCTATACGCCACGAGTGAAAATATCTGTTTTTCTCCCGTCACGAGATGAGAGAAACTGGATATTTTACTCATGGAATATCCCATTTATTTGATACTTTTTATGTGGTTGTCTACCAGAAAATTGGTATTTCTTTACAAATGTAAATCCTTGAAAAGCAAATTTCCCTACCTAACACACAGGGACGGTTTATCACCCCTTGTTTTTGCGACTTAAAAAGAAGTTTCGTGTTTGCAAAATCTTAAAAAAAATTTACATTTAGTACTAACTACTAAATGACTTTATCGCGCGTATCCAAACCATGGGCTAATTACGTCTGTAACCCAATCACCCCTCGTAACTCAATCACCCCGGCCACCACTCGGCACCGTGCCCGGGGAATAATCCCGCGCAAGCATCATCCCGCCCTTTGTTAGTCCGTCATTCGCGAGCAGCCCTTCCCCAAGTACACACGTGTGTCACTGTATCTAATCGCTTTAGGCGCTACTGGCACGATGCCAGGGATCCACGAAAGATCGAGGGGATGCGGAAGAATATCAACCGCCGACTGACCAACCGAGTCAAAGAGCTCGGCGGTACAACAGTGCCACATCCCCAGATCCTGGCATCAGACAAGACATGGTACGCCTGGGAGGGCGTCCACCTCAGTGATAAAGGACTGTGTGTGTTTACGGACAATTTATTGCATGCCCTGGCGCTCGTTTTGCGCCAGTAAGGATATTATCTCCACAGGTTAGTGTTTCCTTTCAGTACATAGGCAAGCCGGGCAACAATGCTATCTCCGCGTATCGCGTGGCCGTGGGTGTGGGGTAGCACTCTGGTGCTTTGTGGCGGGGTTCTTGTGGGCTACACTGCTTGTAACAAATTAACTTGCTTCCAAATTAATACTCGTGCTTAAGGCTACCTGCTTTTCAGCGGGAACCTTTCCGGGGTTACCTGCTTCTCAGTGGGAACCTTGTCTTTCCCGACTTTTCAGCCGGGGAATCGTAGAATAACATACGTTGGGGCAAACAGTTGCCACGTATATGGGCCCGGCGGCGGAAGTCGTCTTGTCAAGCGGTAGCTGACAGTTGGGTCCGCGGCGGGAGCCGCACAATGGTTTTGCTAATGGGGCCGGGCAGTGGGATCTGCTTTGGCCGGCTACCTGGGGCTGGGCAGCGGTAGTCTGACTTAGGCCAGCAGCGTGGAGCTGCTTTTGGCAACGTGGGAGTTGCCAAGCAATGGTAGCGTTTAAATATGCTACCGTGGGGGCCGGACAGCGGGAGCAGTCTCAGGCCAGCAGCGCTAGCTGCAATCGCCGTCGGCCACGCGCGTGGCCATGGCAACGGTAGCATTTGTGGTATATACAATTAGCAGCTAAGTAGCCCACTAGTACCTGCACACCCTCGGCCATTTAACCCAATCTCATCTTCTGTTTTATTACAGGCACGGGCATCCACGGCTCGGTGGCCCGTGCCTCTCCTTGGCATATCGCGGAATAATTACATTTAGTACTAACTACTAAATGACTTTATCGCGCGTATCCAAACCATGGGCTAATTACGTCTGTAACCCAATCACCCCTCGTAACTCCATCACCCCGGGCCACCACTCGGCACCGTGCCCGGGGAATAATCCCGCGCAAGCATCATCCCGCCCTTTGTTAGTCCGTCATTCGCGAGCAGCCCTTCCCCAAGTACACACGTGTGTCACTGTATCTAATCGCTTTCCCACCCACCCACCCACCCAGCTTGCCACTCCTTTTTCTTTCCTTTTTCAGCCTGACGTGTCCTCTTCACCTGGAATGCTAATCACTTCTTTTCTTCAGCGTCTATTCTATTACAGGTACCAGCAGAGCAGATTGTATATATGTAAATAAACCTGTACATATCTAAAATAGGTTTTCAGAGCACTTGTATATATGTACATACTTTTAAACGATTCTGATATATGTAAATAAACATGACTTCTTAATAGCTGTATATCTGTATATATGCAATACCTGTCTCAACAATAAACTATGTCGAGGTGTGCGGGGTTCTTGTGGGCTACACTGCTAGTAACAAATTAACTTGCTTCCAAATTAATACTCGTGCTTAAGGCTACCTGCTTTTCAGCGGGAACCTTTCCGGGGTTACCTGCTTCTCAGTGGGAACCTTGTCTTTCCCGACTTTTCAGCCGGGGAATCGTAGAATAACATACGTTGGGGCAAACAGTTGCCACGTATATGGGCCCGGCGGCGGAAGTCGTCTTGTCAAGCGGTAGCTGACAGTTGGGTCCGCGGCGGGAGCCGCACAATGGTTTTGCTAATGGGGCCGGGCAGTGGGATCTGCTTTGGCCGGCTACCTGGGGCCGGGCAGCGGTAGTCTGACTTAGGCCAGCAGCGTGGAGCTGCTTTTGGAGTTGCCAAGCAATGGTAGCGTTTAAATATGCTACCGTGGGGGCCGGACAGCGGGAGCAGTCTCAGGCATAATCAACTTTAACAAAAAAAATTCTTGAACACTAGGAGAACGCTGTTGGAAGCGAAAGAATACACGCTTGTCAAGTAATAAAAATGTCGCTCTGCAAAACGAACAGTCTCGATTGACGAATCAAATGAGAAATTTACAGTTTATAAGGAAACATTTTCGAGAGAATAACAAACAGCAAGAAGTGATATGAACTTCATAAACGACCGTCTGTATTTTGCCTTGTCAATGTGGACCTAACGTAAAAAAGAACGTCAGAAGTTAGTATACGGGCTAGTCACTTACGACAAAGGGAGACAATTTAGGGGGAGGCAGCTCTCGTATGACAATGGTTCCGTCAAAGTGTTATGTTCACTACAGTGAAATATCAAGTGTTGTGTTCACAGCAATTATAATATCACTTTTCTCAACCTCGGAAAACTCAGTCTTTCACACTGAAGTATATAATAAAAAGTTACATTCGTTAAATACACAACTGCTGATGGATATCTTAGACATCATAACTTAGAAAATCCATATATTTGCTTTCATCGGCACACATTTATATTTCAAACATGGTACTGGTCATGTGGTTGCAAATATATTTCTACTCCAGTCTTCATTGGACCAATTTAGGTTAACACCAAAGTACCCAGACAAAGTGTTGCAGGAATGACTGGTTGTTAAATAGACATAATCAAATTAAGCATAATTTCTTTTATGTTTCAGTTACAAGAGCAATCTCGGTATACTTTCTTTTGCCCCTCAGTTTAGTTCAGGTTCGATGTACATTCATATGGCCCCACTACATCAGATAGAAGAAAACATTAAACCTGTGGGGTTGCAGCGTCCACACGTCACCGGGCACGTATCTGCCATACCAGGGTTGTCACAGTTGACGCCTTTACACAAAGCTAATGCATCCTGGCATTTTGAATTGTCTGAAAGATATTAACCAAACAAAGTCATGTGAAAGATATATTTATGTTGAAGACATAAAGAAAACAGTCAGCGTCTGTATCACTTTAACGTTACTGTTATTACTTTGACTTTTGATGTTTCTTTTGTACAATAGGTCCTGGAGACTATAGATGTAGTTTTTGACACAATGACATGCAGAGTGATGTACCTTTAGCAAGACCCGATTCGGCTTCCATCAGTATGCATGCAGACACGAAGAGCACAATACACACCTGAAAGGTAGACTTAAGTTTATTTTACATGATGATTTCAGATGATAATGGCTCATCTCACTACACAGATTGAAGGACGCGACGAGTCACGATAATAAGTCAGGATTAACTAAATGCATTATGCTGGAAATAACAGAGTGAGGTTGTTCAAAGTTGTTCATTTCGCATACTCTGACTACGGACAGTGTATTCATTGCCAGCTTTAACTCATAATGCATTAAGTGAGTGAGTATGGTTTTACGCCGCTCTTAGCAATATTCCACGATATCACGGAGGGCGACACCAGGAATGGGCTTCCCCGGGTCTTCGGAGTGACGATCGAACGCTTTAACCACTAGGCTACCCGACCGCCAACATAATGCAAGAAGGAAGCAATACTTCGCAATCAAGTAATCAGACGTAAGAAGAAACCATATCTTAAGAAGCATAATGTACAGCACCAACCTTCATGTTTTCTGCATATACAGCGTCCTGAGTGCAATATAAGCAACAGAGAAAGAATAACCAGACGCTGTGTGTGTATACTGATTTAAACGTTTCCCTGCACAGAATGCGGAATAGATTTATCACAGAAACTGAAATTATCAACAAGGAAGAAATATGTATGTAGCTATACACATTTTAAGCATGGCATACAAAAAAATTGAAATTTGCTTTCAAGTTTTCAATAACGTTACCGTGTATTTTCACGATGACAGGGATGGGCATGTGACCATATATTCTGACAAATTCTTTTTTAAGTGAACTATTGCAATCATCTGTTATCAATTATCACATACCATAAGTATTCTATGAAAGTAGCAACTGCCTCAAGCTACTATGATACCATAAATTCAATTCAATTATAATACTGTGCTGCCGGAATTGCACAAAATGATGGAGAGCGGAAGTTCAGTGTCTCGATCCCCGGCCGCGTCATAGTAAAAAACGTGAGAAGATGGTACTCGTTGTGACCCTGGCTGCAGCAACTACTGGTCGGCTTGGAGTCTGTATACTGTGTTTGTGTGTTGTGTCTATGTGAAACTGCCGCACGGTATCTTAGTGGGCTAGAATATACACAACACATTAGTCCAGACACACACGCACACGCACACGCACACGCACGGATGGGATATTTGAGACGATATGTGAATTTGTAACATTATGTGAATTTGTAACATTTTGCAAAGAGCTCGTCCCTGGCAGTTCATGTACAATATTCTGTTTTTACTTAGATCTTTGCATAAAGATTCAGAGTGGCAAAAACTATCCACAAGACTGTATGAAATGGCATGACTTCAACGTTCCACTAGTCAACTTTGCCTTTATGTCGTGCAAATTTACAGCAGCTCCAGCCTTGTTTGGTCATATTTACAACATTCAAGTCCCAAATACAGCTTTCAAAAGGTTTTACAGCATATGTATGGAGGACATTATGCAAATTTAACTCATCAGTGAGAAATATGATTTCCATTTTGATGTTCCCGTGTTTTTTTAAAGTGGAGCAGGATAGGTTCTCCATTTCGCGAACACCTGGTCTTATCAATATAAGAATTTATAAATTTGAAGTTTACATGATATACGTCTTTTCCACATGACTGCGGAATTGACCGTGTTCTTGTAATGACGTAAACACTGACGGACTACTTCCACATTCCTGTGGGAACCCCTTACAATTCCGAAGCATGAATACATACAGAAGCGTTTTTTACGTTAATTGAGACCCTTTCGTCTTGAATTAAGAGTTTGACTGCATGATCGTTCACGAATATCCTCGCTGCGACTCATCCTAGTGAACAAATCGAAGAAATGCACATTCAAACTATCATAGCATTGACTCAATCCGTGTCTAGGCTAACAGTGACAGTCTACAGCAGTCTATGAATTTATCTTAGTGTCTATTTGATACATCTTTTGTCCTCTTTAAATGATCACCCAATTGATCAGTGATGACTAAAACATGCAACCGCCACAGGTTCATTAACAACTTCCGAAATCTCCAACGTCACGTTTTCGTGTCGGCCATTTTCGTGTCTTGTAGTTGCTGTAAATGTATAATTATGACCCTCTGCCATTGTGACTGACTTACTGAGGTAGTTCTTAATTAACAGTCCTCATCTCATCCTTTCTCATCTAATGGTGATATAATTTGAATACAAGTGTTCTGTCAGGTGTTTCTGAAGAGCAAGATGTGCATACACACGCTCATGTCTCTCTTTTTGAGGAACTATGTTATTCCGCGATACAGCTGTTTTTGTATAGCTGTCAGTGTAAACATGACGTCACACGTATTTGACCCAAACAATTACAAACGTTATCAAAGCGTTACTTGTGTCACCTAAACATTGCAAACTAAGTTCCAAAACACAACTATGACACCCGGATCAAATTTATCAACATCCAATAACAATTTCTGGTTTGCTTAATTTTTCGCCACGATCAAACACGGGTGTATTCTTTAGTTTGCCCGGCAGTTTAGTGGGTTAGTAGGTTGGTGATTAAAGACTGACAATAACAATACTTAGAGAATATGTCGTGAGAAGACTTTTGTGCTTAAAAGTTGTCTTTCCACCTTAGCATTGATAGATGCAATGGTTATGCTGCATATAGTCGAGTAAGTGAGTCATTGACTTTTACGACACCTTCAGCAATATTCCAACAATATCACTGCGGGGCAACGAGAAATGGATGTCATCCATTGTACCCAGTGGGAATGGAACCCGGGTCTTTGATGAGACGAGTAAGCGCCATATAAACGACAAAAAAATGATACAACAGTTAAGGGAGGAAAACGTATGTAAGTGATGTACACATACGCTTTTGGTCCATAAATCGAAGAAGCGATTTGAAAATGAACTTAACTTTCAAATTAAAAGGCCTATTTCCAGAGGGGTTTATTATCTGCATTTACTCGTAGACCACGTATCATACACAACGTAGGAATTGGCTAAGAGAAAAAAAGAATGACAGTTCTGAATGATGTTAACTGTGAATACATACATACACGTTATTGATATAGTATGCCTTCCTTGTATGTTGATGGTTAACGTGTGTCATCAATATCAACTTCTGTATCTGCATCTAAGACGGACAAAGACAACTAAAAACAAATTTTTGTTGCAGGCATGCTGTTAATTGAAACAAGAAACAATGTATTGAAAATTGATTTTATTGAATTAAAAGCAGTTTCATAAACACAAACAATATGTTTATGTAAACTACTATATGTTGTTACTAAATAAAAACAAATAAAATGGATTTGTTACAGCGCTCAGATGGTGAAATGAGAACTCATTGTTTCTGGTTTATGATCTCCAAGGTCAAGCTCAGAAGAACCTATGGCGATAAGCCAAACTACTGCTTAACTTGCAACTGTACAGAGTTTAGGGGATCAGCACATACAGCTTGACTGCCCAACGTTATACCTTACACATATATGGGGAGATGGAAGCAAAGTTTTGCACCTTATAAGCAATGTATAGATATATACAGGCTCGTGGTCCAATACATTCGTGGTGAGAACTGAAGGTGGTGAGGTGAAATGGGATTTAATGTCGCGTCCAAGATTATTGCACTTATATAGCGACGTGCATACAGGTGTGTGAGTATGGCTGCTTGTACTAGTCCGGACTGATGCCGGTTTATTGTGCTAGCTCATTGAGATACCATGTTGCAGTTAAACATGATTACCCCACTCAGCCACAGTACATCAGTCCTTGTTTTAACCCATTAAAGCCGAGCGCCGAGCCGAGCCGAGCCGAGCCGAGCCGAGCCGTACAAGTACCATCTTTTAACGTCTTTGGGTATGACGCGGCCGGTGATCGAACCCCGGACCTTCCGCTCTCCGGTCTCATAAGGCTATGATTGAATTCCTCCGACTTGATAGAACAGGTAACAGAGTATGTTAAACATCTGCCCTATGCGTTTACTATAGTCAACGCCGGTTTCATTATGTGGTAGGCAAAAGACGGAACGTCAAATAGAAAGTTTTAACTCAACACAAAACTCAAAGTATGAAACAGATAGAATAATTAGACCCCTGTCACCCGGACATTATCAAGCGACGGCGGCAGAGCTGTGTACCCGGAAGTACGTGAAGTTGAAGGTGTAAGCGCCTCATATACTCCCAGGGAATCGTCTGGAATAGTTTCATAGTGAGATTGTCCACTTTCACCGTCCTCGCTGAACTCTTGGAGTGAAATGTCATCCGAAACAAGATGGTCAGTTCGGACAGGGGAGAGATAAATGCCCCTGAGAGATCCAGTGCACTTTTTTCTGGAACATAAAATTCATTAATTAGCTATTCAAGTCACGATCAAGTATTTGTTAATGAAAACTATGATCTACTGTCAATAAAGGAAGACACTTTATTCCTAACAAGCTATGATATTGACCATGTTGAAACATTAATATTTTTTTTAGCATACATTTCAATGCATTCTAAGTCTATACCTGCAGATACTTAGGTTACTTATTCTTCATGCACTGCTGGACATTCTTGTATATAAGAACAAAGGATGTATTACCTGATGATAATGAAGGCCACTACAATTCCAACACCAAAGAGGACAACTCCAATGCATGTTGACATAACACGGACCCGATGACGAAGTGACTGCACGTATGACACTGCAAAAGTGGAACATTCATGTAGCTAAACAAACTAGTAAGGGTACATAATTCACCAACTGTTAATATATAGATCAACATGTTTCGGAATATGACAATATCATTCAGCTCTGTTAAAATGGAATTATGAACAGAAGAGACTTAAGTTCAATGTGTCGATAAAGGATTGAAGCTGGAGATGGGAGTAGGGGTTGGAGTGGGGATGAGGGTGAAGGTGAGGATGAGGATGAGGGTGAGGTTGCAGATGCGGATGCGGATGCGGATGCGGATGAGGGTGAAGTTGAGGGTGAGAGTGGGGTTGAGGTGAGGGTGGGGTTGAGGGTAAAGGTGAGAGTGGGGTTGAGGTTGAGGTTGAGGGTGGAGTTGAGGGTGAAGGTGAAGGTGAGAACGAAGCGAGGGCGAGGGTGAGGGTGAGGATTAGTGTTTAGGGCGAGGATGAGAGATGGGGTGAGGGTGAGGGTGAGGATTAGTGTTGAGGGCGAGGTCGAGAGATGGGGTGAGGGTGAGGGTGGGAGATGGGTTGAGGGTGAGGGTGAGGATTAGTGTTGAGGGCGAGGGTGAGAGATGGGGTGAGGGTGAGGGTGAGGTTGGGAGAATGGTTTAGGGTGAGGGTGAGGATTAGTGTTGAGGGCGAGGTCGAGAGATGGGGTGAGGGTGAGGGTGAGAGATGGGGTGAGGGTGAGGGTGAGGATTAGTGTTGAGGGCAAGGTCGAGAGATGGGGTGAGGGCGAGGGTAAGAGATGGGGTGAGGGTGAGGGTGAGGATTAGTGTTGAGGGCGAGGGTGAGAGATGGGTTGAGGGTGAGGGTGAGGATTAGTGTTGAGGGCGAGGTCGAGAGATGGGGTGAGGTTGAGGGTGAGGATTAATCTTGAGGGCGAGGGTGAGAGATGGGGTGAGGTTGAGGGTGAGGGTGGGAGGTGGGTTTAGGGTGAGGGTGAGGATTAGTGTT